AACAACAGCCAGAGACTTAGCAAAGTGAGGACAGAAGGTATGTGCAGTATCATGGAGAAGCATGTGGAATACAAACACAGGAAGGAGACAAGAAAAGCAAAGATCTGCATAATGGTAAAGCAACACATATGGAAAGTCAGCTTGAGAAGAACAGTCACATATGCCAAAAATAATTCACTAGCTACATTTAGCTAGAAGATCTGGGGAGCAAACATAAGCATCCTAAACAACTGCAGTAGGTTAGCCAGAGTGTCTGCTGGCCCCAGGGTCACATATTCCTGCTCTAACTGCCAGCAGTGTCCCTTTGGAATGAGGAGCTTTCCAAATGCTGGCCAGTGCTGGCTGTGGAAGGAAAACTGTCTGTTCTTTTCCGTTTCTCATGATTTCTTATGAAATGTATACTGCAATGTAAAGCCCTTTCAGAAATACCTGAGCCAGTTGATCTGTGCAGAATGTGCTGATCTGCAGAATTGCTTGGTTGTGTTCTAGAAACAAAAATGTAGTGTTGGCCTGCTCCTGCTCATGAACACATCTTTGTGTGACCAATTCTTTTTGTTTAATTATAAATAATTATTTCATTTAACTATATAGAAAGGCTGCTAAAACAGCCATGTGAGATGTCCTTACCGTCCTGGGCATATTTTGCAGAAGGATTTTCTTCTGTTCTTATTATTGAGGTCATTTGCTGTTGGCATTGCTTTCACAGTATCAGCTCCCAAGTTTGTTGTGTGACATCAAACATAATGAAATGGATGACATTTGGGACTGATTTCACCAAGTGTTCTAGTCCTTTGGATTTCACTCTGGAATACTATATTTTATATTACTTCATTTGCTTGGGTCAAAACTTAAGAATCAGTGTCAATTGAGTTTAGTAATCCCCTCTTTTTTCTAGAATTGTTAAACTAGGTGAATCTGAGCCTGCTTTGCTTTGAAGGCTTTCTACAAGTTTGCTCTTGTAGAGTGGGTTATTGGCCACTGTGGATTATTGGCCAACTGCTCTTTCAAATGGCATCATTTTCCTAGAGGATCTTTTTTTCCAAATGTTGTTTTCTAAACAATAATTTTCAAATATGCCCTCTTCCTGTGACCAAAACCACAGCCTATTGCCACAATTTTGATGACTAACATGAAAGCTAACCAGGTAATCTGCACTGTCATTACATACAGATAATCCTTACAGACCATTTATGGATACCACACCATGTCTGAGAGTCTTGCTCACTGTTGTTTGTAGTTGCGCCTGCCCTGGATCAGGTGAGTACCTCCAAAGTCTCCTTCTAATGCCTTGTGTTGAAATGTATTGCATTATAAGCTGATGCACAGTAATTTATCTTTTCCTTAAGGCCTAAATATATTAAAAAAAACAAACTTTAATAATGTAGTCAGCATGGCCCAGAATCAAATACAATAGAATTTCATTGCAAACTCATTTTTCCTCCTCATCTTTCCTCATCTTTTTTGAAGTTTTCTTTTATGGCAGTAACCACCAAAGACCCAGACTATATTTCAACGACAGTTTTCATTATTTTTAAGAGACATTCAAATGAATGTGAATGTAGTTGGCTTCAAATTCCAAGTAAATTCAAACACTAAGATGCCTCTAGATAATTTAAAAAATACTTCTAGTTTTCATTTTACTGGAAACCTAATACTTAGTGGGGCTGCTACTGCAACTTCAGCTGTTACAAGTAAGATGATTTGTTCATTGAAAACCAAACACCTATAAGATTGTTTATCATATCTTTAGATTTGAGTTTCTGATTACAGTGTTTTCCCCATAGTATTAACTGCACTGAAATGCAAGTGAATTATAAATTTAACCTTTTATTCAAGACTCTACCTTGTTTGAATTTCACAGGACCAATTTTCAAGCACAGTTCTCCCATGTGAGCAGGCAGTGAATATTTTCTAGTCACTACCTTGATCTGAGCCCAGTTAGGACTTCTCAGTTTGTGCAAATTCCATTGTCCATTTTAGCACACCTGATTCAGTAACATGTTGGAGCCATTATGAATTCCTCTCATGCACTTTAATGTTTCCTGAGTAGTGGAAGTGTAATTGTTGTTTGAATAGCCAGACATCTTTTGCCCTGAAGGCCCCCTCTGTGAAGCATTTTTCACTCTGCCCTTTTTGTGCTATGCCCTAGCCTGTCTTGTACTTATAACAACTTTAATATAAGCTTTTTTTCTGTCATATCAGCATTTATCTGAACCACTCCCCAAATTTTTTTCTAGCATTTCTCTCATTTTATAGACTAAACCACTAACTTTGCATAAAACTTAAGGATTTTCACCCAGCAAATTACAGCCCCTTTTTTTCCATGAGATATAACTATGTGATTACAGGAGCCTTCCAGACATTCCTTAGGCACTATGTCTTGCTGGCTACGAGCTATAGGTTTTACTTGTATCTGAACTGAATACCAGTGTCTTTCAGGGTGCCACCACCAAGTCATCAGTACCTGGACTACACAAGTTGGCTCGTTAATTAGGTTTTCATCATGTCTGTATCACTGAGCAATTAGGCTATGAAGTGAAATTCCCACAGGGCATTTCCCACTTGCAAATTCTTATACTCCTCCAGCAGAGACAACATGGCTGCTATCCTTAGGCTACAAGCAGGATTTAAAATAAAAAAAAGAAGTTGTAGACATACAGCCTTACTAAAGTTCTTTGTCTAATCCAATTTTACAGCTAACACCCACAGCAGCTCCATAATCCATTCATTCCCCTCCACAGTGATTTATTTCAAACTCCCTCCTTTGCTCTGGTCCAGCCGTTCCTAAAGCTGAAGATTAACCAAAGCTGCCTTGTCTCCCTAATTCCATAGTACAGTAAGAGCTTGATTTAATTCCTTTTGTGGAGCTCAAATATCCTAGTTTGGGCCTTATTTCCTACAAACGTGTAGGAAACGTGTCTACAAACGTGTCACTAATTTAAGCCATAACTAATTTGGCTCTGACAGTTAACATCTTGCTGCCAGTTTCAATTAGGGAGGAAAAACAACTGCTGAAATCAGGTGTCTGTGGTGTAATCATGTTTGCTTGTAAGGAGGCCAAAATGCTCTTTCCCTAGACACAGGTGGCACCAGATAACATGGTGATGGCAGGCTTCTTTCAAACATTACCTAATCCCTGAAGGACTTCACCTAACAGTTTGTCTTCCAGAGCAAATGTTCATTGGTGCTCTTCTCTTTGCTTTCTCTTCTGCCTCTCCTCTACAGAGAGTCCTTTGTCAAGTAACAGCCAAATCCTTAACTCATAAATGTGTTGTCTTTACACTTTGTTTCTTAGTGGTATAATAATTTTTTCTAAGAAGTAGGAACAGTGATTCCTTTCTCCCAAATTACAGTGTGACAACCAGTATGAAAGTTCCTGTATTTTTTCTTCTTTGCTGTTCTAAAGAAGTAACACTAACATACTCTGAATGTTTTTCTCTCCCAACCCTATCAAAATGCAGTGAGCATGACAGTGAGTAACAGAGAGCCCTGCTGCAGCCAGCAAAGCTTATCTCTGAACTGCTCCCCAGGTCCCTGCATAAGTTTCAGCTGAATCTGAACTCCCAAGTATCCTTACAGCCAGGATCAAGCAGCATTATCACAGAGCTTATCTTCCCCAGAATCTGAGCATCGCTTGGAATTGCTCTACCATGAAGGCAGAACCACATCTCTAATTTATATCAGCACATTCCTGATACACAGTCATATTTCAGTATATAATCAGTAAATCCCTTATATAACAACCAACCAAACAACTAAAACATCTTTTCAGCAGAGCTCTTTCTAGTCTATCTGCTCTTCTGAGTGAGAGACCGTGCCCTTTGGAACCATGAGCAGCATCACTACAGGTATGGAGCCACACTACCAAGTGGATTTTTTCTGGTGCACAGCATCAGCCAGGTGTGTTCAGGGCTGCTGCAAGAGCTGTCATGTTTTGAGAGCTATAATTAAATTGCCACCTACAATAATGGACCTGAGGATAATGAGCTCAGACATAGATGCTACGTTGAACCACAAGAAATGAGACAGACCCATAATGAGACATTTTCAGCCTTATTAGAAATAAGACAGATGAAACCAGGCAGCTGACTGGCCTTTTGTTGCCAGGGCTCTGCTCCCCACAGGAGAGGTGCCCTGTGGATGCCCAGGTGTTGCTCCCCGTGGGAGGGGTGTTCTGTGGGTGCCCTGTGGGTGCTCCCCGCAGGAGGGATGTTCTGTGGATGCCCTGTGGGTGCTCCCCGCTGGTGGGATGCTCTGTGGATGCCCTGTGGGTGCCCCGTGGATGCTCCCCGCTGGAGGGATGCTCTGTGGATGCCCTGTGGGTGCCCCGTGGATGCTCCCCGCTGGAGGGATGCTCTGTGGATGCCCTGTGGGTGCCCTGTGGGTGCTCCCCGCTGGAGGGATGCTCTGTGGATGCCCCGTGGGTGCTCCCCGCTGGCGGGATGCTCTGTGGATGCCCCGTGGATGCTCCCCGCTGGAGGGATGCCCTGTGGATGCCCTGTGGGTGCTCCCCGCTGGCGGGGTGCTCTGTGGATGCCCCGTGGATGCCCTGTGGGTGCTCCCCGCTGGAGGGATGCTCTGTGGATGCCCTGTGGATGCTCCCCGCTGGCGGGATGCTCTGTGGATGCCCCGTGGATGCCCCGTGGGTGCTCCCCGCTGGCGGGATGCCCTGTGGATGCTCCCCGCTGGCGGGATGCTCTGTGGATGCCCTGTGGATGCTCCCCGCTGGTGGGATGCTCTGTGGATGGCCTATGGGTGCTCCCCGCCGCCGCCGTCCCCTCGCATCCCCCGCCCGGCTCCCGCCGCTGTCTCCATGCGACAGCGCAGCGTGGGCGTCTCCCAGCGTTTCATTTGCATATCTCGGCGAGCAGCCAATAGACGGGCGGCGTTGCCGCCACATTTGCATGTGGCCGGGCGGTGGCCAATGGGGCGGCGGCGGCCGGGCGCGCGGAGGGCGATGCTCCCGGCGGCGCGCGGGCGGCGCAGCGCGAGGCCGGGCCGGGCGCGGGGACCTGCCGGGCGCGGGCGGCCCTGGGCCCGGGCGGCCGCGGGGCAGCGGCGGCGGGACCATGTCGGTGGCGGGGCTCAAGAAGCAGTTCCACAAAGCCAGCCAGGTACGGGGGCCGCGGCGGGGCCGGCCGGGCTTTGCTGGTGATGGGCGGCTCGCCCAGCGCCCGCTCCCGCACGGGCGGCGGGTCCCCCCTCCGTCTGTGGCAGCATCACCCCGGCACCCCGGGGAGTGTTTCCCTCAGCGTTACCTCCGCGTCCTGCGCCTGTGGCTTTGCCTGTCAGCTCCCTGTGCGGTTCTCACAGCAGAAGGTTGCCCCTTCCATTCTTTTGCTTGGGGCTTCAGGTATTTCCTTTAGTTAATAACATTTGTTATTTAGTCGTGGGTTCGTGTTCTGTTTTGAGGCCTCAGTTAAAGCTACAGCGTGTATGGGAGCAGCTTTCCCCTAAAGAGTTCATTGTTTTGATCTGCCACGAATGGCTGGTTGTTATCCTACCTGGAATGCCGTGTGTTTGTCCTGTAGAGGGTATCAGATGTTTCTAGAGTTTTCCCTTCTTTTCTAGATCCTGTACTCTTCTCTAGAGTGAATCTTCATCTTCTTCTGACCCCTTTATCTCTTTTCTCTTTTCTATGTGCTTTGCTTTAATAGTTTAGCTGGTTTCTTTTAAGAGAGAAGCACCTTTCTGCCAAGCAGGAAGCCTGGTTGAATTCCATGGCAGGATGGTGCCAGTGCCAAACCCTGCATTGATGCGGGGGCTTTAGGATGTGCCTGCAGTGGGATTCTTCCACTGAAGGTGTTTGGAAGTCTCAGCTGCTTTGCTTGCTCATTCCAAGTCAAAGAGATCTGTAATTCTGCTGGCTGTCATTAATGTTAATGGTAATATCGAAATTAGTGTCTGTGACCTGTTCAGTGCAATCTGACAGCTGCTCTTCTCTTGGTGAGAGTGAGGAAAATAAAGGTTCTTTGAGTGCTTGGCTGTTGTCTTTCTAGGTCTTCCTTCAGCTATGTGGCTTGTCAGCAGCCCAAGTGCAGAATCTGCACTTTGTTTGGATACAGAGATGATAAATATTTGTATCTAATGTTTCAGTAGCGTGCTCTCTTTCATGAAATGTACTGATCCTGAAAAATGTTGTGAATTGTTATCTTTTAGTTAACTTTCACTGTTCCTTTGAGAAAATGCTCGATCTGTACAGTAAACAAATCCAAGGACAATTTATTAAAGATTTTGGCTTGTTTTGCATCTGATATGCTGGTAAGTGATGCAGCCTTTGCTGTAGTGAGTTTGCAACTCAGGAAGTAGATGATACATAACTGAGGAAGTTTGAGAGGTAACCACAGCAAGAGCCCTCTTGTCTAGCAACTGGTACAGTGCAGGTTACTTAATCCTGCTCAGATGTCAGGCAAACAAACAAACAAAAGGATGGGTGGGATCTGATAAAGGTAGGAATTAATGGCAGAAAGGAGCTGTAGAATATATTGAATTGGACTGCATTTATTGGAAAGTTGCAGTATGGCTTCCAATATTCCATACTGTAAGGAACTGCAATGCATAACTCATAAGAATATTCTTCTTGTCAGGGTGGATCAAAGGTAAAATTTCAACTTATTTTCAAATGCAAGAAATTTTAAATCAGTTGATTGAAGAAGTCTGTCATTATTAGGAAATTCAAGTTCAAGAATAAGATACTGTTTGGTTTTTTGGTTTTTTGTACATAAGGTAACAGAAGATCCTTCTTAAAAGCTCATTCTGTAAGAATTCAGATAAGATGTTGGGGAAAATAACAGAAGAAATAGCATATATATGTAGTGGATCAAACCAGCCATGTTTAAACAATGAAACTGCTTATCTCAGGCACACAGAGGCTCAGTCATGCCCAGATGCATAAAGTTTTTGAACTAACAAAAATAAGGTGGGACATGAAAAATGGCAATATTGGGATTCCATCTTTCAGAAGAATTCTTTTACAAAATGCTAAAGCAAGAAAATGCAGAGCATGAGAGGTATTTCTCCACAGAAGATTTGTTAAATTTCCAAGTACTGTGGGATCACTTAAGGAGACAGAGACCTTTGTGTATTGAGTGGATGAAAGATGCCAGTGGTAACTGTTAACAGCAGAGACAGGCATTGCTTGGGGAAAGAATGAAATTAATTCCTTTAGTGTTCCCAAAGGAGAATGGGGGCAGATGACAAAAACTGGCAAATGTCCCAGAGGACATTGAGGAATACTGGAGGGAATGAGACTACTGTCAGGACATGTGATTAAGGAATAAGAATAATATTTGAAAGCTGACAGAACCTAAGGACAAAAAATCTGAAGGCTGAAGTAAGTGTATTAAGACAGTCTGTTTTTAACAGTTCATTCAGAAATGTGACTAAAGATCAAAAATGGCAAGATACATATATACTATTTCCATGCTGAAGTAGACTTCTGTTCAATGAAAATAAATGACAATTCTAAATGAAATACAGAGTAGTATAGATACATAGTTATAAAAGTATTAGATAGAATAAATGGAATTATTCTAAACTCTGCTTGCTCTTACTGAACCACTGAACTTTTTTGCTAAAAACTGCATTTCAGTTTTGTGCTTGTAAAAAGCCTGTGTATGTACAGCTTTTGCTGACTAGTGGTGACCACCTTTGTGTGTAGGCTTAAATTCTAAGTGCAGGAGTCCAGGAAAACAAAAATTACTTATGATTTGATACACACAGTTGAGGTTTTGGGATGTTTGTCTGATGCTTGTCAGTTTGGTTTGTCTGAAGTTACACTAAAGTAAATGAGTGTTTCCTTTATGAAAGGTCAGCAGCTAACTTTTTATGGTTACTAATGCACTTGCCAAATTCAGGCATGACAAGCCATTGCAAACTTGGCTGGTGTAGTAAAAATCACCGTGGGTCTGTCTGTTTGTAATCCAGTAATTCACAGGAAGTGTTTGGGTGGTTTTCCCCTAGAATTTTTTACCCAATTGTTTTTATTTTCCACTGAAAATTGCATGTTTGGTTTTCTAGAAGTGTCAGGCAGTGGGATCTAGAAGACAGCTCTTGTGTTACACATCTAACACAAGATGAGTAGAGTTTGAGCTGTTTTTCTGTACATTCAGTAGATAAAGCTGCAGTGCTACTCCATTATCTGTCCCCTGATGATTGCTTCCCCTGGTGTCATGGCATGGATAGACCTGAAGCTGGGATGTATCTCAAAGTTTCTGTGTCTGTTATGGAGTGATAACACCCTTCATGTTATTAGAATTTTCTTTACTATGCTTTCTACTTAGGTTAGAAGTTTAAATTGAAGTTCTTTAATTGAAAATGATCTGCAATGAGGATCTCTTCCATTCTTTCCATTAAATATCAGTGATGATTCCTTGAGTATAACTCATTTAACTCATGAAATACCAAGCAGAACCTTCACAGTGTGAAGTGTCTTACCACCCCTCATTGGCTGATAAGCAGGGCAGGCTGTTTCTCAGGCCTGATTAATTCATGTGCAACTCCCATAAAATTCAACTTTTTTTTTTTTTAAATATATTTTTTAAATTAAGTTTTGTGGAGTTTTGTTTGCAGTGAGAGTTTGTGTCCTGTTGCTTTCAGCCCCTGCCAGATCAGATCTGTTTTCCTGTTTTCAGTTTGAAAGCTTTTGATGTAGGTGTGTGTCTCTGCCTGCTGCTTCTGCAGGCCTGGCTCTCTGTGCATGTATGTGGGATAACCCAGGTGGTGGGAGGCCTGCATCTTCTGGTGTGTGCTGGGAGTATTTTTAGAGCTTAGAAAAGCAAGAAGCACAGAGAATGAATAAGAAAGCCTTAATAGGTGTCAGATTAATTTCTAATTTCTTCTGTGCTCTAAAACCAGGCTAGGATCTCTCTGTAATGATTTGTGATTTTTCAAAGTGCTTGGAGGCTGGTGAGCTCAAAACCTCCCTCCCTTAGGGTGTTTTGAAAGCTCAGTCCTGATACTGCCATAGGAAATCTGTTGATTTTCAATTCACACTTTAAAAAAAATATTTTTTAAATTGTAGCTGAAAGCTGTGTATAGAAGCACTTTCACTTTCAACAGCTTATTCATGTAATATTTCTTAGGCTTAGGTTCTTAGAGGTAGTGGAAAGTAATGCTTTTCTGAGAAAAGAAACACATCTGCCAATATTCACAATTATTGTCTTCTTTGTAATGTGGTCATTAGCAGCTACTGTAGCCTCTGCAGGCTGGGTCCTTAAACCTTCTCCCATTGTCAGTGAAGGAAGAGAAGCTCCAAGAGAGTGTGAGCCAGGAGCTGGTTCTGTTTTCTACAGACAGAGCCTAAGGGGAAGCAGATTTTCTAACCAAAACAATCAAAATTTTCAACCTAGTGTAATAAATATCTAAGTAATATGCTCTGTGTTTTAATTTCTTATGTATCCTGAATGGCATTTGTCTTTTCAAGTGCTGCAATTTTTTTAGCAATTTTTAAATGGCCTTTTTCTGTTTTTTAATATTTTTTAAACTTTCAGCTGTCACCAACAGTTGCAGGGATGCTGCTTCATATATCCCAGATTTCTGCTTTTTCTCCATTGATTTGTGTGGCATTTTGATCCCATCTGTTGGAGTGAAAACCAGATCAACCAAGACCACCTTGTTCCCCAGACAGAATAAGTTGTGGATTTTGTTGTTAGATTATTAGGGGTGGTGGTGGTGTTTTTTGGTGATTTTTTTTTTCTTTTTCTCTTGACTATTTTTCTTTTCTGTTATGCTCTAGATACTAGCCTAGACGTAATATTTAAGCCTCTTTTAAGGTCCATGTTGACATTGAGTTAATACACAAAAAACTTCAATTACACAAGGGCTCGATAGCAAAGGAAATATTTTGGTAAACTGTATACAAGGAGAACTTGGACTTGACAGTGAGATGTGAAGAGAAACTTTATTGCCTACATCTAGTTATATTTATTTCCTAGGGCTATAAGCTGTTATCATACAGTGTGTTAGAGATACTGTCCTTTCACAGTCAGTGCGAATTGGGAATGATAAATCCATGACAGTAGTGCAGAGAAAGCTTCTGTCCTGTTCCTAGTTTTTATTAGATAGTTGGATTTACTTTTCTTCAAATCTTACAGAATTGTGGAAGGAGGACAGT